AAACCCCTCCAGCATCTTTACTTTCATTGATACAGTTTGTCTGCATTCCTGATCCAAGCCTCAAAGTAAAGGAAGATTATCGCCCTGAAGATCTCAAACAGCCCAGTGAATGCCTACCTTATCACCAAGCTGTAGCTGCAAAGACCATGGCGATGCTATGCGATTTTGCGCTGCAGCTCAGAAACACAGTAAACATGTCAACACAGAGAAACATGGCGGATTCTTTGAAGGTGGCATGCTAAGCCAAAAAAAAATTAATGTTTTTCCACTGCTAACTCCCAATATTTTTCGATGGTTTGATTGTACAATGTCAGGCCATTATGAAGCGTGAACAACTTGAAAAGCAAGGACACTGCTTCACTATTTTGATTTTTGTTTAAGCACCGTTTTTGCATGCAAATCGGGTTACATAGGGGTTTCCTTGGCTATCTTGAAGCTCCACCACACTAATTGTGGGCATTTTGACACAAGGCACTTAATCATATTGGTACAGAAGGAGAAATTGGCTTAAATGTGGGAAAATATTTTAAAAGTAAGAAAACCAAAATGAAAACTTCATATCTGAGATTTTAATTCATCTAAGATTGAGACTGAGCATTTTGTAATTCCCTTTTCTGGACCAATGGGTTATTAAAGTTCTAGGAAGATAATTTTTTATTTGATGAATACTTGAACTGTTAAACTCAGCAAACAAAATCAGGACTGTTACTTAATTGATGATAAATAACCACGTGCCAAAACATGTTGAAACTCATGGCAAGTTAGGGAATGAGTACCTGTTGCTTTGACAGGCTAATAGCAAGCAGTGTAAATGGTTAAATAACTTGTAATATTTCTCAATTCTTCTCTTCAATTTGTTTAATGCTGTTATTGAACTCAGTATTGTTTTGGCAGGGCAACCTGGGTCATTAAGTCATCGCCAATAAACTGCATTTGTACTTGGTGTCCTATTGGTGTTATTTTTCTCTCAGTTCACTTCTCTGCCACAAACTTTGGTAATCCACTAGTAGCCTGGCACACAAGAAGACCTCAGCTTTATCATCAGAGGAGGTCATAGCAGAATTAAATCCGGTATTATCATCCGATCCAGGGTTCTGTATTTTTAAGATTTTCTGAAATTTGTGGTACAAGATCACATGATGAGCCTTGAGAGTATCTGTCAGACTGGACTCTGAAAGGAATACCTAATCTCTAGGATGTATAAGACACTGTGCATTTCTGGTCATCGCATTTCAGGAAGGATGTAATTGCTCTGGAGAGATTGCCGTGATTTACTAGAATGAAGCCAGGGCTGGAGAATTGTCGCTACGAGGTGAGATTGGAGAGGTTGGGTTGTTTTCCTTGGAACATAAAGCCCAAGGGGTGACATTATTGAGGTATGCAAAATTGTGTTGGGTAGAGATAGTGGACAGGAGGAACCTGTTTTCTTTAGCAGAGAGTTCAAAAAACCAGGAGTTTTAGATTCAACCCAAGTGTTAGGATTAGAGGGGACATGGGGAAAATTGTTTTAGTGTGGAAGGTGGTGAGTGTCTGGAATTTGCTGCCTGAGTTGGTGATGGTAGCAGAGACCCTAAACTTTCAAAAAGTACCTTTAGCTACTTTTGCTGCAGAGTTGTGGGCTGTGTGCAGAAAAATGGAATTAGAAAGGGTGTTTGTGTATCTTTGGGTTGGCATGGACAGGGTGGGCGAATTGGACCCCTTCTGTGCTGTATCATTTCTGTGGTTCCATGTATAGTAGTACTGACATGCATTATTAAAGTGGGGATATCAAACCATGGTGCATATGAGCTTTGTATGTATGCATCCTAAAGCCTCCGGCTACATGTAAAAGTAAATAAATGTTCCAGTAACTTACATGTTATAAGTTGTTGATTTTAGCATAGGTTGGTGATTTGTTCTGAATATGTTCATTTGTGAACAATCCTTCCAAACTTTTACAGCTGTAAGATACATAAACAACAGACTAATAAATTGAAATAGAGTTTAGATCAAAGATCAGAATGCCCTGCCCTGCCCTGGAGTCCTATCCCTAAAGGTGAATACTGTACTCTGGATGGCCATGTTGGGGTCCAAATGAAGCTGACAGAAACAAATCACTGCCAACGTGCAGAGGCAAAATTGCACTCTGCAATTTCTCAGTCAAGAGGAAAACCTGGGCAAACCTAGTAGCCTTTCTACACAATATATTCAGAAACCACAGAATATTTTGTTTGCCAAATTGACACCTTAAGCAAAACACATCTGTCTATGGTGGGCAAATTACAACAAGCATTGATAAATGGACACGTTTGTGAAGGTTGTCTACTTTGTGATTGAGCACAGCATTTTCCTGAATGAGTGCAAAAGGAAGATTGTGACAGATTGCCAATACAGCCTTGAATATACAAAATAAATCCTTGAAAAATACTACTAACCCCTAGTTGCCCAAAGTCCTGATCTACTCTTACTGTATGGAACTCCTCCAGATCTTGCAGAAAGCAGACTATCATGATGATTCTAACAATCTTTCTTCTATACCTGCACAGAGAAAACTCTGATTGAACTATTTGCAACCATGAACCAGACTGAATGTAGCTGTTACGTACAAGAATTTAGGCATTGCATGGATTAAATCATAGCAAATACAGCATAGGCTGTGCTGTTTTCTTATGGCCTTTAATATTTTTCTTTGTAAATATTTGGTAGTACGATACTTGATAAATACTGAAAAATGACACATTTTGTAAAAACTCTGTCTTGTTCTTATCAGGGCATTTGCAAGAATATCAATGTTGGAATACTGTCCTGGATGAGTGCAGCTCCAACAGCACTCGAAAGTTCCAAAGCATATTTGATTGGCACTCCATCCACCAGCTTCAACATTCACTCCCTTCACTAATGATGCATGGTTGCAGCAGTGTGTGCTATCAATAAAATGCACTGTAGTAACTCACCAAGGCTCCTTCTGGTGCTTTCAAACATGCGACTTCTTCCACTGCGAAGACGAGCACAGCAGGTATTTGTAAATATCATAACTGAGAAGTTGCCCCTCCAAACTCCATACCATCCTGAGTCAGAACTGCATCTCTGACCCAATAACAATGAAGGAACAAATCTTAGAACTCCTGAACAGCTCTGTGGCTGTTCTTCCATGCCAAAGATTACAATGGATCAAAAGGACAGCTCTCCACCACCTTCTAAAGAGTAATTGGGGATAGGCAATAAATGCGGAGATAGCCAGTGAGACCCACACCTTATGAACTAATTAAAGCAAATGAAAGGAGCAACAGTTTTATACTGAATAAAAATGTTATTCTGCATAACATTGGTATTTTACTGAATCTCCTGATGAGAAGATGAAAAGTTTTGACAAAATGTCTTTTTAACAATAATTTTTCCTTATCTAATTTCTACGTGAATAGCTAGATTGTTAAAGATGCAACTGCCCTTTTTTTTTTTTAGTGAATTATTCCAGAATATTATGTTAATGCTTTGGCAAGTTCATCTTCCAGGTTTGTCCCCTTGTTGATGACTGGAGTATTGGAAGTAAAGCAAATGCCAATTGTGCACTCACTAGCATGTAATTGCATCCCTTCCCCATTTTATCTTAATGAATTGAAAAATCTTGAGTCAGTTAACCCAGAATTAGACAAATGAAGGTGGCGCTCTGAGTGCATACCTCTGCCACACTGGTAATTCAACATCATTACTGTTGTACAGCTCTTCAAGGTTTTTCTATCCTTGGTTTCTCTTGTAACTGCACGGCATAAAAAAAAAGAAACATTTTTATTAAGAGTTTTCATCTTACTGAGGAGGTTTCTGGTCATTCTACACCCATCAACCTCTTCTGGAAACTCTGCTGATATGTTGACAACTGTGACAAATTTCTCCACAGCAGAAACAATCCAAAATATTCTTAAATAATTAACAAGTTTGCCTTATCTCTGAGTGTTAATGTTTTAAACATTAACATCGACAGGATCCATGCCTTTGCCAAAAACAAATCTGTTATTGTTTGGGTCAGCATATTTGTATACCAGGTTTTGTTGAAACATATCAATTTGTTTTTGAGATGTATTCACTATCAGACTAATGAACAGGAGTAAAAACATTACTTTCGTCTATCGTTGGTGTTGGAAATAACTGCTTAGGTCAACATTAGGTGTTGTAGGGCTTGAGGGAAGCTGATTTGTTAGTGGTGTTATATGGTGTTTTTATAGGATCAGAGACTGTTCACACTATGCTATCATCCATTCCAACTATTGTACTGATTTGAAATTAGTGCTACTTGGGTTCAGTGAAAAGATAAATGCGTGATCACTGAGCTAGTTTTGGTCTCTAAGTTATGCTGCGCTAGAGTGGCAGTAGGGTCTAGAAATTAATCTAGTTCTCATCTTATAGGTCAAAAAATTTAATTAAGGGTTCTGTCGCTAGGTGACCAGTATTTGATGGTGTGTAAACTACATATACATGTGAATGTGGTACCCCTGATTACTTTTGACATTCACATTCCCCGTAGCTAAATAGTTCAGTTTAGTTTCAAATGCATGAGTGGTCACTTTAGTGAGGCACACACAGAGCATTCAATTTCTGAAGAGCCCAATGGAAACAATTGAATATGCATTGGTATTTGAATGTCACTGAAGTAGGATATTTATGACAGTGAATGACAACCCAATAAACCATGATGCTCTGTTCATCAAATATATTTTTAATCTTACCTGCGGTATTTGGAAATAAATTATCAAAAACATCATGTATTTATAAGAAGATGAGGCCATATTTGTACCTTGACAGCAGTTTTACTTTCAACATGAAATCAACAAAGGATACGTGACTCTCTGTATAAAAGTCAAAATATATAATGCCCATGAAACATTTGTCTTAGCGAACTTAACTCCTCATCGGGATTGCAAGAACAATTTTATTTTGAAAGGTAAATTTCAGTATAGTATAATTGGTGCTCAATATTCTGAAGAGCTGTAGTTACTTAAATATGCTTATGACATGTTTGTTATCAGCAAAGAAACCAGATTCTGAAAAGGCAGATGAGAAGAAGAAGAAGTTGATACCGCCACAATTGCCTCCAGTGCCACAGTTTCAGGTGAGTTTACTAACATATCAGCAACATTTTAGGAAATAACTTGGAACTTGAAATTAATGTCATACTCTCTAGTTGCAGTACTTAGTATTGGTAATCATGTAAGTTTTAAAGTGATGGCTGTAATTTAATGCAGAATTGTTCAAAACAGTGAATGCTATTTATATTTTTCAGCATGTTGTGTCCCACCATCACCTTCAGAAACTTAGGTACCAGAATGCATGATTGTTTACAGACTGTATTTACACACTCTGATCTGCTACCCAGTATCTTAATCCTGATCTTACGAGTTTTAAACTGGGGCTATGGTCACAATTATTTATTGTGTATGTTTGACTTAGACAACAGAAATTAATGTACTGTCACCAAGTTCGCAGATAACACCAGAAATATGTAGGATGGCAAGAATGAGGGTGACACTGCAGAGGGATATAGATAGGTCAAGTGAGTGGGCAAAAACTCAGCAGATGTAAAAAATTGTGAAGAAATATGAGGTTAGGCACTTTGGTATGAAGAGTACAAGGCTGCATATTATTTAAATAGAGAAAGTTGCAGTACAGAGGTGCAGGCGTCCTAGTGAATGAATCACAAAGGTAACATCCAAATTCAGCGGATCATTGGAAAGGCAAGTGAAATATATTTATTTCCAAAGGGCGTAGAGTAGAAAAATAGAGAAGTCTTGCTAAAACTATAGAAAGCACTAGTCAAGCCACAAGTGGAATACTGTGAACAGTTGTGGTCCCATTTACAAGGAAAGATATGCTGGCATTGAAGGCAACCAGAGACATTTTCCTAGACTCATCCTTGGTGTGGAGGGATCTTCTTGAGAAGTTGGATAGTTTGGGCTTGTACTCATGGAGATTAGCAGAATGAGAGGAGACCTTTTTGGAACATAGGTTTCTTAGGGGGGCAGTCAGTATGGCTGCAGAGATGTTATTCACCCCTTGAGGGAGAGTCTAGGACCTGAGCAGCAGCATCTCAAAGTGAGGAGCCACCAGTTTAAGACCAAGATGAGGTTATTTTTGGGGGTGGTGAATCTGTAGAACTCTACACTGCAGAGAGCAGTTGAGGTTGCAACATATTTTCAAGGCTGAGACAGACAGCTTTCTAAATCATTAACAGAATCAAGGGTTATGAGGATAAGATGGGAAAGGAGAGTTGAACATTTTCAGAGTAGCATGACCTCATTGAATGATGGAGCTGACTCGTTGGACTGAATAGCCTAATTCTACTTGTGAATCTTATGGTTGTAATCTGTGCCCTCAAGTGAAAGACTAGCTGCTCACTTTTCCTATACCACACCTTTTAGACTTCCCAGAAACTTTAAGATTCTAGGAGATAAAGGGAAGAAGACAAAGATGTACAAAGTAAGGAAAAGGAAAAATCAAAAGGCAAGGGCGAAGGAAACAGGATACAAGTCCCACATGGAAGGCTGAAAAAAAGAGATTGAGTATGGAGAAAAGTGATGAGCAGGAGGGAAAGAAAATCAGAAAAAATGAAGTAAAAGGCCTGCTCTTTGCACAGTTACTACCATCAATCAGCAAGCTAGAGAGATGCAAATGAACATTTTTGTGAGGTTATTGAATGATTGAATATTGAAAATATTGAATGACCAATTTAAATTGCTTTGTTTAAATTAGTAAATGTCCTGAACAAGTCATGAGCAAATATATATGGATAGGTTTCCCTGTGTGTATTTTGTTGGTTGTACTCATGCATGTTGATGAACTCAGTGTACAAGGGTTCATAGAATTCCTACAGTGAGGAAAGAGGCCATTTGGCCCGTCGAGTCCGCACTGACCCTCCAAAGAGCATTCCACCCTATCCCCATAACCCTGCATTTACCATGGCTCGGCTGCCTAATCTGCACATCCCTGGACACAAATGGGGCAATTTAGCATGGCCAATTTACCTAACCTGCACATCTTTGGACAATGGGAGGAATCAGGATCACCTGGAGGAAACCCACACAGACATGATGAGAATGTGCAAATTCCACACAGCCAGTCATCTGAGGCTGGAATTGAACCCAGGTCCCTGGCACTGTGAGGCAGCAGTGCTAATCACTGAACTACTGTGCCACCCGTGCCCTTCAGTGTGTACTGTTTGCAACTACTTAGACAATAATAATCTAGACAATTTATTTCTACTTAAATCTTGCAAATAAATCTTAATTTTAGTGTGAACATAACTGTATTGTGATATTTTCAACCTTTTAGAGTATACTGGACAGCCAATGGTCTGGTTAGACTTAGTGGTCTGTGTTATACAAGAGGTCAACTGTGCTGTTCACCTCATGTCACCTTTAGAGACTAGGCCTTGGGGAAATATGTGTGTACTTACAGATACTGCCTTTTCCATGAAATCAAGTTTGACATGTTGGGAGAAGGTGTGCATTCAGCTAGCACTACAGCTTAGAAGATGACAGCCTGTTCTTTATGTTTTACATCACTTTTTCCTTATTAAGTTTCAAGCAGCTAATTTTCCTTCTCTGTCAATTTGCTCCTGTACCCTGACGTAATACAGAAGTATGGTTCCTTTGAAGGAGTGACTGACTGTCCCTCTCTTCCATGCTTCAGACAGCATTTATTTATGTTCCTTGGGCTGATCCTTGTTGGTCTTACGAGCACTGATTACCTTGGTGGATTGTGTCCTTATTACCTTTGTATTTTTACAATGCAACCTGTCAATGATCCTAGGTTCACTAGGGTCACTGAAGTCAGTTTCAATATCACTTTGACCTCCTTAGCAAGGTCAGCTAACATGGAGAAAGGCTGTAAATCTATCTGGAACATTCTTTGTTGGCTGTGTAATTTGACACTTTAATCAGTTTAACTGTCTGAGAGCACAGCTTATGTTAATTTTTTTTAAAATTAGTTTTGTTTCCAATACATGCAGTAATACAATGTTACTTATTAATTTTCTTTTAGTTCAAAATCAACAAGTGTCCACGTGTGTGCTTAGTTAAGCTTTTTATGTAATTTAGAATCATAGAATCCCTACAGTGGAAACAGGCCCTTCGGCCTAACAAGTCCATGTCGACCCTCAGTATCCCACCCAGACCCATCCCCCTATAACCTACCTAATCTAATCTACACGTCCCTGAACACTAGGGGCAATTTAGCACGGCAATCCACCTAGCCTGTACATCTCTAGACTGTGGAAGGAAACCGGAGCACCCGCAGGAAACTCACGCAGACGCAGGGAGAATGTGCAAACTCCACACAGGCAGTCGCCTAAGGGTGGGATCGAACCCAGGCCCCGGCGCTATGAGGCAGCAGCACTAACCACTGTGCCACGGTGCCACCCAATTTAACAGTTTAAAGTTCTTCTTTACTGTTTAGTTGTTTTCCTCACATGACGACAATCTCAATATTTTCAAATGCCACATTTAGTTCCAGAAACAAAACATGAAATGTAAGAAATTAGTTGGTCTAAAGTTGTAAATATGCCAGTAGCTGTAAGTACTTATTGTATATTTTGTTCTTTGTATAGCCTGATAAGTGCCCTTTTTGAAGTTAGTAATTTTTTTAATTAAATTTCCCTGTGTAGCTCATTTGCACTAGTCTTGATGAACTCAGGGAACTCATTGCCAAAATGGAGGGAGAGCTAAAAGAACTGGAAAATAATAAGAAGAAATCTGTAAGTAATTGATCTGTTTGCTCTGGAACAAAATTTGAAAGTCGAATTTGTTGCAATGAATTGTACTTCTTGCTGTCTTTCTTTTTGGATGTTGCTGATTCAGAATGCTGGTTTATTTTCAATTTTAAGTTGTATGAATTTGTGTGAAGTGTTTCGCTGCATACTCAGGCATTACTTGTATATAGCAGTTTGAACATTTTAGAACTTAATTTACACCTCAAATACATCTTGGGCCTTTCTTCTGTAGAAGGAAACTATGTGATTGCATTTAAATATGGCAGAATTCCAACTGTTGCCAGATTGTATTTTTAAATAATGTTGCCATTTTATGTTGAAACGGAGTTTAAAAATCTAGTTCAGGCCTATTGTGGTGCAGTGATCATGTCACTGCCTCTGGCCAGAAGGCTTGGGTCCAGGGCCTTCAGGTGTATGACATAGCATATCCGAATCGGTTCACTAAAAATATCTAAAGCTCCAGTTCTGAGCAAATCTATTTTGGAACTGGTAAGAGTGCTTGGTATCTAAGGTTTTGGAGTAGACTTGTAGCTCGGGTTGTGGGTGTTGAGGTTGGTTGGCTTGCTGAGCTAGTTTCTTGTTTCGCAGACATTTTGTTACCATGCTTGGTAACATCCTCAGTGCAGCCTCCGATGAAGCGTCGGTGGGTTTTCCCACCTAGGTTTTAAACTCTGGGGTCCGTTGAGATGGATTGCCTCACTTCCGGTTTTCCTTCGTAGTGGAATGTATATGGGGTTGAGTTCAATGTGTTTATTAATAGCATGCTTCGTGGAGTGCCATGCTTCCAGGAATTCTCGTGCTTGCCTCTGCCTAGCCTGTCCCATGATCTTGGTGTTGTCCCAGTTGAAGTCGTTGGTTCTCCTTGTTCATGTAGATTGAGATGAGTGCGTTTTGGTCGTGTCTTTTTGTAACCAGTTGGTGTTCGTGTACTCTTGTTAGTTTCCTTCCTGTTTGTCCAATGCAGTGTTTTTCACAGTCTCTGCAGGGGATTTTGTAGATGACATTGGTCCTGTCCATGGCGGGGAGCGGGTCTTTAGTTCGGGTGAGCAGTTGTCGTAGGGTTGACGTGGGCTTGTGTGCCACTCTGATGCCCAGCGGTCGTCGGAGTCTTGTGGTGAGTTCCGACGTGTTCCTGATGTAGGGTAGTGGGATGTGTGTATCGGGGCACGTAGAATCTTTTTGATGCTGTTCGTGTAGGCATCTTCTGACCCAGTTCTTTGGATATCCATTATCCTTGAACACTTGGAAGAGGTATTCTTCTTCCTACTAACTACGCCAAGAGGAAGAAAAATACCTCTTCCAAGTGTTCAAGGATAATGGATATCCAAAGAACTGGGTCATAAGATGCCTACACGAACAGCATCAGAAAGATTCTACGTGCCCCGATACACACATCCCACTACCCTACATCAGGAACACGTCGGAACTCACCACAAGACTCC